GAACTCCGCCTGATCGGCCCTACCGCAGAGGCGGTGGACCGGTTCATCCAGGGGCACGAGTTCCCCATCCGGGAGGGTCCCCACACCACCTTCGCGTACCGGGGGGAGGCCAGCTCCGTGCTGCTCGGCCATTGGCTCTTCGGGACCGCTGCCGCGCGGGAAATGGAGCGGATTCCGGGTTCGGACCTCTGGTTCCTGACCCTGGACCTGCCCGCCGAATCGCGGGTCGAGTATCGGTTCCAGCGGGTCCGCGGAGCGGACGCCGAGTGGATTCTGGATCCGCTGAACGAACGGACGGTGCGCGACCCCTTCGGTGTCTGGTCGGTCTGTCACGGTCAGGGGTACGAGCGGCCCGAATGGACCGAGCCAGACCCGCTCGTCGGCGAGGGCGACCTCTCGTTTACGGAGGTGCGGAGTCGGGCGTTCGGAACCCGGCGGGTATCGGTCTATACCCCATTCGGCTTTCGGAACCGGCGCCGGTATCCCCTCCTCGTGGTGCTCGACGGCGAGGGGTACCTGCGCCACGCGGCCTGCCGGACGATCCTTGACAACCTGATCCATCGCCGGGAGATCCCTCCCCTGATCGCCGCGTTCGTGACCCCCGAAAAACGTATTCGGGAATTGCGGACAACCCCGCCCACGCCGAATTCCTGACCTCGGAGCTCGTTCCTCATCTCCAGAAGGAGTTCCCCGTCAGACTCCGTCCGGATGACCGCGGGCTGGTTGGCGCCGGACTCGGCGCGGTGGCCGCCCTCACCGCCGCCTATCGGTACCCGGGCTTTTTCGGGAAGCTTCTCCTGGCGTCGGGATCGTTCACCTTTACCGACGTGGGGCCGAGTACCCGAACCGCGTTGCTCGATCCGGTGGTGGATTTCGTGAACGCCTATCGGGTGGATCCGCGCCGGGTGAGCAGTCGCGTGTTCGTCAGTTGCGGGATCTACGAGCCCCTCATCTACGAGAATCGGTCCCTCGTGCCGCTTCTCCGCGAGAGCGGCATGGAGGTCCGCTACGTGGAAGCGGCGGACGGCCACAACTGGGACAACTGGCGCGACCGCTTACGGGTGGGCCTTACGTGGCTTTTCCCCGGGCCTCTCTGGCTCTACTACCGATGAGCGAGTCTGGGAGCGCCGGTCTTCAGACCGGCATCGCCCGCCAGAGGCGGGCGAAACTCGCGCCGCCGCTTCCGAGACAGGCGACAGGCAAGACTGGCTTGCCCTCGCAGGTTGGTTCTGGAAGGGAGCGATGAGTCCCCCATCGCCCTTCGACCGGCTCATTTCCCGCGTGGGAACCGGGTCGGTGAAATGGGAGTACCGCGAGGGCGCGGTCGGTCATGGTTCCTCGCTCGTTCCCGCGGAGGATCCGGGCGTGATCCCCATGTGGGTCGCCGACATGGACTTCCCCTGTCCGGACGTCGTGATCGAAGCGATTCGCCGCCGCGCGGAGCATCCGATCTTCGGCTACAGCATGGGCCTTCCCAGCTTTCGCGCGGCCTTTTGCGACTGGATGGCGACCCGGCACGGATGCCGTCCGGACCCCGAGTGGGTCGTGCCGACCGAGGGAATCGTTCCCGACCTGGGTTTTCTCGTCCGTACCTTTCTCGAGCCGGGGCAGGGGGTCATCCTTCACCCGCCGGTCTATTTCCCGTTCTTCGGGGCGGTCCGGAACGCCGGCGCCCGCATGCACCTGTGTCCGCTCGGCCGGGAGGACGATTCGGAGGACGCGCCGGAAGACGCGTCGGGGAATCCTTACCGGCTCGATCTCGAGCGGTTCGAGAAGCTGGCGGCGGAGCCGGAGACGCGAATGACGTTCCTGTGCAGTCCGCAAAACCCGGTGGGCCGGGTCTGGACTCCGGGGGAGCTGGGCGAGTTCGCGCGGATTGCGAAGCGACACGACCTCATCGTGGTGGCCGACGAGATCCATGCGGATCTGATGCTGGACGGACGGACGTTCACCCCCTGGCTCAGCCTGGGCGAAGGAGCTGTGGAGGACGAGGTAATGCCGCGATCGGTCGTGTGTTCGGCGCCGAGCAAGACGTTCAACCTCGCGGGCCTCAAGTCCTCGTGCCTCGTGATCCCGGACCAGGAAATGCGGGACGGCTTCCGGCGCGCCCGCGACCGGACCGGCATCTACGGGGTGAATCCGCTCAGCGCGGCGGCCGCGGAAGCCGCCTGGCGCGGCGGGGGGCCGTGGCTCGACGAGGTGCTCGCCTACCTGAGCGAAAACGCCCGGACGCTGCGGACCTTCTTCCGCGACCGCCCGGAACTGAATGTCGAAACCGCTCCCATCGAGGGGACGTATCTCGCCTGGCTCGACTTCCGGCGCACCGGCATCGCCGCGGGTGACCTCGAGACCTTCCTGCTGGAGAAGGCGCGCCTTCGCCTCGAGGACGGGGCGATCTTCGGTGCGGAGGGACGGGGCTTCGCCCGGATGAACCTGGCGTGTCCGCGGCCGCTGCTGAAGGAGGCGCTCGGCCGGTTGGCGGCAGCGCTCCACGCCCGCGCTTGACGCGCGGGAATTTCACCGCGCGTCAATAGCGAATGCCCGGGAACGCCGGTGTTCACACCGGCATCGCGGCCCGCAGGGCCGCGGGAACTGCGAACTACCGGCCGAGAAGAAGCGCGGCGAGAGCCTGGAACGCCATGGCTCGCGGTCGTCTCCGGGCTGTTGACCCGAGCCCCGGATCGGGCTACGGCTCGTCGTCGAGAATCGCGGTCAACTGGGCGACGAGCGCGGGCAGATCCGTCACGATGGTGCTGTGCAGGAGGTTCAGGTCCGCGGCGTCGTATCCGTGCACCAGGTGGTTGCGCATGCCGATACACTCGTCCGGGACCTCCGGGTGCTCCCGAGATTGGGCGGTGTTACCTGGTGGCGGCCTCTCCCACGATCTGCACCAGATGCAGGAGAGCCAGGATCGTCCGGCGGTCGGATTCGAGTTCATCGGGAGTCGCGTTCTCGAACAGTTCCATCGCTTCCACGGCATGAGCCCGCATGTCGGCGAGCGCAGCACGATCATTCCGGCGACTCATACTGCAGCACTGCGGACCTGAGGATCTCGTCGCGGAACCAGGGCTTCAGGCCGGCGACGGTATGCATGTCAGCCCGCCGCCCCAGGATGCCGGAAAGCTCGCGTTCCATCCCGGCCAGGCGGATGTATCCGACGCTGGCCTCGGGGGCGAACTCGACCAGTACATCCACATCGCTCTCGGGGCCGAAGTCCTGCCGAAGCACCGAGCCGAACACCGAGAACCGGCGGATCTGGTTCTTCTCGCAAAACGCCGCTACCGCGATTGGCGAAATCGGGATTTCTGAGCGCACTTCGAAACGCAACGCCGTCGGGTGCGGCTTGATGAGCGGATTCTACCGACCGGTGGCCCGGCGTCCGCTCGCGTGTGCTGTGGCCAGGGTGCTGCCGGCGTATGGCATATCACTCGGTTGCTTGCGTGGTGGGCGTTCGGATGATGAGCTGTTCTATGAGGCCGGACCCGTGTGAACGCAAAAAATAATATGACTTGGCGGCTGCCCTGGATGGCGATCCTCCGGTTGAAGGGTTGTGCCGTCCGGGTTGGCGAGAGGGTGCGGAGCTCACGTTGGCAGGGCGCTGCGTCGTCGGCGCTGGTTTCGCGCTCGCCGCGCGATGCCGGTCGAGACTCGGCGCTCCAAAGCCGTTCCCGCGCTTTTCTCCGTCCAGAGCAACAGCAACGCGGTTTCGCGGCCTTCGGCCGCGGTGCCGGTCTGAAGATCTGGTGTTCACACCGGCATCGCCCGCCGCCGGCGGGCGAGGTGCACGAAGCCGACGGCGTTTGTGGTGCCTTCCACCTCGGCAGGATAAATGTAGTAACATAAATTAATCGGTGGCGTTCGACCGACGAAAGCGGGCAGTGCCGATTCGGATTCTTGGCTGGAGCGATGGTGGTCCTGATCGCGCCTCCCGCGCGGCCCGGTTCGATGCATCATCAGCATGGGGAAAACCAATGAGCACGAAAGAAGGCTCCAAGGCCCAAGGTCTCGACCGTGACGATGCCCCGGATCTTCCCCGGGACGGCTTGCCGGGAGCGTTCGCCAAGGCGCCGGTTCGTCGCGGCCGGCCGCGGGTCAAGCGGCCCAAGGTCGCGACCACCATCCGGCTTTCTCCGAGGTGATGGACCACTTCAAGGCAGGCGGCCGGGGTTGGCAGACACGGATTGACGCCGCGCTTCGCGACTGGATCGGTAAGCATGGAGACGCCTCACCGACAGGTCCAGGAGAAGAGATGAAGCGGGGAGGCTGACCGTCGGCGCTCGAGGGGGTGGCGGCAGGAGTCTCCGGCTGCCCATCTCACACGACAAGATCGCCGCGTTTTGTGAGAAAAACGGGATCCAGAAGTTCTCGCTCTTCGGATCGATCCTCAGAGACGACTTCGGGCCGGAGAGTGATGTGGATGTGGTGGCGGAGTTCAGGCCCGGGGTGCGTTTTTCGCTCTTCGACCTCGTCGACATGGAGGACGAGCTGAGCAAAATCGTGGGCAGAAACGCCGAAATCGTGGAGTTCCAGGCGCTCCGGTCCTGGATGCGAGAGGAGGTCTCGGGCTCGATGGAGCTGTTTTATGAGTCGCCGGAATGACACCGGATTTGTCGTGGACATGCGGGATCACGCCCGTGAGGCGGTCGGCATGTTTGGTGCGGCCAGCGCGGACGATATCGAGAGCGACAGGATGCTGCAGCTGGCGCTCGAGCGTCTTGTCCAGAACATTGGCGAGGCCGCCAGTCGACTTTCGCCTGAGTTTCTGGAGGCGCATCCGGAGGTTCCCTGGAGGCGTATCGTTGGAATGCGTAACCGACTGGCACATGGCTATCGCCACGTTCTGCGGGAGCGAGTTCACGACACTGTCGCCGTGGACCTGCCGAAGCTCATTGATCAGTTGAACGCCATCCTCGGCGAGGAATAGCCTGAGCGCGGGGCGTGCACCGGGCCGAGCGCCGCAGAAGCTATTCGCTGGCCCGCTGGCTGGCCCGTGAGTTCGGCTACCAGTCCGCGCGGGAGACTCGCGATGACTTGTGTGAGGGCGTGGTCGAGCCCGGATTCGAGGGCTCGCTCGACGCGGGTACGAATCGACTTTCGGTTGAGCGGCTGCGCCTCCCGGGTTCGCGAGAGGTTGCGGAGCTCACGTTGGCAGGGCGCTGCGTCGTCGGCGCTGGTTTCGCGCTCCCGCGCGATGCCGGTCGGAGACCGGCGCTCCACGTCCCCGCGCTTTTTCTCGGTTGGCGGTACGCGGTTTCGCGGCCTTCGGCCGCGTGGATGCCGGCCTGAAGGCCGGCGTTCCCTACTTCTCCAGGAAAGTCGTTCCAGGCGCGGGCGCGGAGGGTGTTTTCCCCGTGGTTGACCAGCGCCGTGACTACGTGGCGGGCGAGTGAGGGGTCGGTGATGAGCGGGACGCCGCGGTCCACGGCGCGGCGGCGGACCAGGTAGCCGTCGGGCCGGCCCTCGGGGTCGAAGGCGACCGGAACGTTCACCACCAGGTCCACGTCACCGCGGTCGATGAGGTCGAGGGCGCTGACCGGGGAGGGAAGATCGAACCCGGAGCCCAGGGGGCGCTGCTCGGAGTGGACGCGGGCGACTTCGGTGGCATCGATGCCGTTTTCGCGGAGGACGCGGCAGGTGCCGGAGGTCGCATAGATCTTGAGGCCCAACTCCTCCGCCATGGTCCGGGCGGTGCGGACGAAGCGGTGCTTCCAGCGCGGCGGCCCGAGCGAGAGCAGGACGCCCTTCTTCGGCCGCTGGAACCCGGTGGCGAGCAGGCCGTGGAGGAGCGCCTCGTGGAAGGAATCCCCGAGACATCCCACCTCGCCGGTGCTGGCCATCTCCACCCCGAGCAGCGGGTCGGCGCCGCCCAGCCGCGAGAACGAGAACTGCGGCACCTTGACGCCCACGTGCTCGAGTTCGTAGAGCGGACGGTGCTCCATCCCCGGATCGGCCCCCAGCATGATGCGGGTGGCCGCTTTGGCGTAGTTGCGCCCGGTCACCTTGGATACGAAGGGCAGACTCCTTGACGCGCGGAGGTTGCACTCGATCACCTTGACGATCCCGTCGCGATGCAGCAACTGGATGTTGCAGGGGCCGGTGACCCGGAGCTCCTTCGCGATCTGCTGCGCGATGCGCCGCACCTGCCCCAGCGTGGGAATCGTCATGTCCACGGGAGGAAGGACGAGGGTGGCGTCTCCGCTGTGGACGCCGGCGTCCTCGACGTGTTCGCTGACCGCCCAGAGCACGAGTTCGCCCTGGTTCGCGACGAGGTCGATCTCGATCTCCCGGGCGTCCTCCTCGAACTTCGAGATGACGACCGGGTGTTCGGGGGATATCGCCTTCGCCTTCCGCAGAATGCGGGCGAGTTCGTGGTGTTCGTGCGCAACGGACATCGCGGCTCCGCTCAGCACGTAGCTCGGGCGCACGAGAACGGGAAAACCGCCCAGTGCTTCGACGATGCGTTCCGCTTCCGCCACGTCGGTTACGTGGGCCCAGCGCGGCTGATCGATCCCGATCCGGTCCAGCAGGGCGCTGAACTTGTTGCGGTCCTCGGCCCGGTCGATGTCTTCGGCGGAGGTGCCGAGAATCGGAACGCCGGCGTGGTGGAGGCGCATGGCCAACCGGTTCGGAATCTGGCCGCCCATGCTCACGACCACGCCGTCCGGCCGTTCCTTTTCCACCAGGTCCAGGACGGATTCCACGCTCACCTCGTCGAAGACGAGCTTGTCGCAGATGTCGTAGTCGGTGCTCACCGTCTCCGGGTTGTAGTTGAGCATCAGGGTTTCGAAGCCGAGCTCCGCCGCCGCCTGCACGGCGTTGACGCAACACCAATCGAACTCCACGGAGGAGCCGATCCGATAGACCCCGGAGCCGATCACCAGAATGCGGCCCCGGCCCGTGGCGGGCCCTCCCACCCCTTCGTCGCCGCTCGCGTGGTAGGTGGAATAGAGGTAGTTCGTCTCGGCGGGGAACTCGGCGGCCAGGGTGTCGATGCGGGCGATGTGAGGGCCGATGCCTGCCTGCTGGCGGGCGGCGCGCGCACTGCCCCGCTCCCTCCCGGTGAGGAATTCGAGGGACTCGTCGGAAAAACCCTGCTCCTTGGCCAGTTGGAGCGTCGCCGGCGGGATCGGCCAGCCGCCGCGTTCGACTTCCGCCTCCGTCCGCATGGCCTCGGCGATCCCGTAGAGGAACCACGGATCGATCCGGGTCAGGCGATGGATTTCGTCGATCGTCTCCGGCACCGTTCCCGCCTCCACCGCCGCCCGCAGGGCCTGGGCGAGCGCGAAGACCCGGCGGGGCGTCGCGTTTCGCAGTTCGTCCTCCCGGTCCTCGAATTCGAACGCCTTCGAATCGAGGCCGCGGACGCCGATATCCAGCATCCGAAGGGCCTTTTGCAGCACTTCCGGGAAGGTGCGCCCGATGGCCATCACTTCCCCGACGCTCTTCATTTCGCTGCCGATCCGGGTTCCGGCTTCCTGGAACTTGCCGAGGTCCCAGCGGGGCGCCTTGAGCACCAGGTAATCGAGCGCCGGCTCGAAGAACGCCTTCGTGACCCCGGTGATGGCGTTTTTCAGATCGGGAAGGGTGAATCCGAGCCCGAGTTTCGCCGCGACGTAGGCGAGGGGATACCCGGTCGCCTTGCTGGCGAGCGCCGAGGAACGGGAGAGCCGGGCGTTCACCTCGATCACCCGGTAGTCGGCCTCCGTCGGGCTCAGGGCGAACTGCACGTTGCATTCGCCCACGATTCCGAGATGCTGGATGGTGCGGATCGAACCGTGCGCAGGAGCTGGTATTCCTCGTCGTTCAGGGTCTGGGAGGGCGCCACCACGATGGATTCCCCGGTATGGATCCCCATCGGATCCATGTTTTCCATGTTGCAGACCGTGATGCAGTTGTTGTCCCGGTCGCGCACCACCTCGTATTCGATCTCTTTCCAGCCGCGGAGGGACTCCTCCACCAGCACCTGAGCCTCGTTGGTGTCGTGAGTCCCGAAGATGTTGGTGAGCGCGGCTTCGAGTTCCGCTTCCGTTTCGACGATGGCGCTGCCCTTGCCGCCGAGGGCGAACCCGATGCGGAGCATCAGCGGCAGCCCGATCGCGTGCGCGGCTTCCCGGGCTTCGTCCCGGCGGTGGCAGACGATGCTGCGCGCGGTGAGCACTCCGATTTCCGCGAGCCGGGAGTTGAAGCGACCCCGGTCCTCGGTGTCCCGGATGCTGCTCACCGGGGTTCCGAGAACCTGGATCCCGGCGCTCGAGAACCACTCCTCGAGTTCCAGCCCGCAGTTGAGCGCGGTCTGCCCCCCGAAGGAGAGCGCCACCCCGTCCACCCCCTCGGCTTCGGCGATCTGCCGGACCAGACGAGGGGTGACCGCGTTCAGGTAGAGGCGGTCCGCCATCCCTTCGCTGGTCTGGATGGTGGCGATGTTCGGGTTTACCAGGACGGTGCGAACGCCCTCTTCGCTCAGCGCCTTGATGGCCTGGGATCCCGAGTAGTCGAACTCTCCCGCCTGGCCGATCTGGAGGGCCCCCGAACCGAGGACGATGACGGAACGGGGTTTCGCCGCGGCGCTGCTCATCGCCGCGCGCACGCCTCGAGGAAATCGTCGAAGAGATGGCCGTGTCCTCGGGGCCGGGGTGAGCTTCCGGATGGAATTGGATGCTCCGGAAGGGCCGCGCGAGCGACCGGATCCCCTCGTTGGTGCCGTCGTTGAGATTCTCGAACCACGGCTCCCAGCCGTCGGGCAGGCTCGCTTCGTCCACCGCGTAACCGTGGTTCTGGCTCGTAATGAAGGAGCGGCCGCTCACGAGGTCCCGAACCGGCTGGTTCACGCTGCGATGCCCGTAGGGCAGCTTGAAGGTCCGGGCTCCCGCCGCCATGGCGAGCAATTGATTGCCGAGGCAGACACCGAAGATCGGACCCTGGAACCACTCCATCACCGATCGGAGTTCGCGCGCGAGGCCTTGCAGGTCGCCGGGATCGCCGGGGCCGTTCCCGAGGACGATCCCGGCGGCGGACCGGGCGGCCTCCGTAAACGGGAGGAGACCCGACACCCGGTGGACCCGCGCGCCCCGGGAGACCAGCGAGCGGACGATGTTGTCCTTGGCGCCCACGTCCACCAGCAGCACTTCCGGCCCGTCCGCGGGGCCGTAGCGCACGGGGGTTCCCGGCACGACCTGCTCGAAGACCTGGCGATGCATTTCGACGGCGGAAGCGCTCTCGAAGGCATCGGAAGGCGCCAGGCCGGCCGGGAAGAGCACGCCGCGCATCGTCCCGGCCTCGCGAAGGCGCATGGTCAGGGCCCGGGTGTCCACGCCCTCGATGCCGGCAACCCCCTCGGCCTTCAACCAGGCGCCGAGGGAGCGGACTCCGGCGTGGTGGCTGTAGTGCGGTTCATGGTGCTGGACCACCAGGCCCTGGACCTGAATCCGACCCGACTCGAAGGGCCCGGCGATGGAGCCGTCGGGGCGCGCCGGCGGAACGCCGTAGTTCCCCTGCAGGGGATAGGTGAGAACCAGAATCTGCCCCCGGTACGACGGGTCGGTAAGGGTTTCCACGTAGCCCGCCATGCCGGTGTTGAACACAACTTCCCCGGCCACTGGTCGATCCAGGCTGACGCCGAACGAGGTGCCAGAAAAGCTGGCACCGTCCTCCAGGTGAAGCTGTGTCCCGCCACGCGCGGGGTGAATTGCCGGTTCCGAACTCAAACCGACCGGAAACTCTAACAGCGTGTGGTGAAACTCACGCGGCGTTCCCGAGCGGCGATGCATCCCGGCTGAACCGCGCCGCTTTGCGCCGCTCTGCGTTGCGTTTCGGTCGAAATACACCCGGGCCAGTTCTCCCGGTGGGGGCTCCTCCCTCACGCGCCTTGTCAGCCGGGCCCCCACCGGGAGAACTGGGCCTCCCCGCTCTCGGCGCTCCCGCGAATTCCACCACCGGCTGTTAACGGCCGGTGGCAAAACCCACGCGGCGTTCGACGGGCGATGCATCCCGTCTGAACCGCCCCGCTTTGCGGGGCTCTGCGTTGCGTTTCGGTCGAAATACACCCGGTATTCCTCCCTCACGCGCCTTGTCAGCCGGGCGCCTCGACCGTCTCGGCGCTCACGTGGGTTCCACCACCGGCCGTTAACGGCGCGCCCCGTCCTGGCAGCGGTGAGGGTGGAGGATTCGCCGGGAGGAAAGTAAGCTTCTGCCCGAGTTTGGCGTCTGGGTGTCCTCGGTTCGGCTCGGCAGGATGTTCTTGCCGGTTCGGAGCTATCCGCATCCGTCGTCCAGCCGCCCGTATAATGAAGTTCAAGTTTTGCTTTAGCTTTTTCGGGCTTGTCCGGCGAGGGTGGCCAGTTCCTGTAACCGGCTGTTTTTGTACAACTTGCCGCCAGGTCGCTACCCTCTAACCGTGCAGACCGAGTAGGGGAAGGGAACATCATGACCCATCTGACGCACCGTCGCGCTTTTCGTCCGGGGAAGGCTCTGGTCTGGGCTCTCGCCCTCCTGTTCCTTGCCGTCTCACCGGGGATCGCCGGGCCCGCGGCGCCGCAACTGCCTCAGGATCCGCCGGTGATCCACTTCGTGGTGTCCGGCGAGTACGCGTTCTCCGCGGCGCGGGTGACGGTGGACGTTCGCCTCGAGGAGGGAGCGCGGCTGAACGTGACCCTGACCTCTCCCTCGGGGGGGAGCGAGAACCTCACGATGGACCGCGACGAACGGCGCTATTCCTGGACCGGTCAGTTGAGGGAAGCCGGCACCTGGCGGGCCGAAGCGACGGTAAGCGGGGCTGGCTCCCCGCAATCGGCGAGCGCCACCGTGTCGCTGGAGGCAGGCGCGCCGACCTGTTCGCTGAGAATCGGCGCGCCCGCACAGGCAACCCACTATCTCGCCGCCGACTTGGTGGTGAACAGTTGTGACGCTACCGCCGCGACCGGCGAGATTGCGACCCGATACATCACGGTCCTGCAGGACGGCGTGCAGATCTCGACCCTTGACGCCAGCGATCAGTGCGAACGCCGGTTCATCCTCCCGGGGGGCGGCGCCTATGAGGCCTCCGTGACGATTGCGGACGACCGGGGCGTCACCGCGACGTGTAGCAGTGCGGACCTGGGTGTGGACGCCCTGTACCCGCGGTTCTGGCCGATCGCCGACTTCGTGACCGGAGCCTACAAGAGCGAGAGAACCGACATATTTCCCAGCCCGGAAGCGTCGTGGCTCAGCGGCGCCGGGGTGGGGGTCACCGTTCCGCATGATGCACTGGCAGAGCGGACCAACGCGTTTACGGTCCGGGCCGGCGGTCGGCTTGCCCACAACTTCTGGATCGGATCCTCGCTGGATCTGCTGCTCACCCGGCAGACTCCCGGGGGGTTCTTCGGACTGGGAGCCGGCGCCTGGGGCATCGGCGACTCCGAGATTCTGGACGGCGGGGTGTTCGGCACCGCGGGTTTCAACCTGCCCAACTACACCGGCGCCGGGCGGATGCAGGCGTTCGCCGAAGTCCGGCTGTTTGCCAGGCACATCAGCGCGCCCCAGGACAACTTCTCCGGCATCGTCGGATTGAGGTTCAACTTCAAGCGGACGCACGAACTCCGGGCTCGCTGACACGCCCGTGAACCCGGGCCGAAACCGGCTGTTCGCCGGGGTGGCGGCGCTCGTTCTCCTGCACCTGCTGGTGGCGCTGGCGCCGGCTGAGCCCACGCTGTTCGGAGCGCCGTTCGGGCTCGCCCTGGAACTCGTGGTCGTCGGGATCTCGACGCTCAACCTCTGGTTCGCCGCTCGGATCCTCTTGCCCGACGCTTGTCGCCGACCGGTCCATTTCCGCCAGCAGCGAAGAACGTCAGTAGAGCCAGGGTTCCAGGGTTCCAGGGTTCATGACGCTCGCGGTCGTCGCCCTCTATCTCGCCGCGGTCGTCGGGATCGGGCTCCGATCGCGGCTCGGTCGCGCGCGAGGCCCGGACCGTGGGGGGGAGGGGTTTTTCCTCGCCGGCCGTTCGATCGGGCCGTTCGTTTTGTTGATGACGCTCTTCGGAACGAACATGACGGCCTTCACCATCCTGGGCGGGTCCGGCGAGGCGTACCGGCAGGGCATCCGGGTGTTCGCCCTCATGGCGACCAGCTCGGCGATCGTCATCCCGATGACCTTCCTCGTCATCGGCGTTCCCCTCTGCGCCTCGGCAAGCGCCACGGGTTCGCCACCAGGCCGAGTTCTTCGAGAGCGCTACGGATCACCCCGCGCTCGGTCTGCATGCTGGGGCTCGGGGCTTCGCCTGGCTTGTCCCGACGTGACCTCATCGGTCTTTACGACTCACTCCGCTCCACTCAAGTCTCCTCTACCTTCTTACGCTTCTGTCATAGTCGTCTCACTTTTTACATCTCTTTTGGAAGTAGTCGTTCTTCCTCCTTCTTTGTGTGTGTTGGTGTGTTTTGAGATGTTTCGTCTGGTTTGTTTGGTAGGCTGTGTGCGCACCTTACCTATATCTGCATTCATTTTCTCCTCCCTAACGGTAAAGGGTCGGAGGAGGAGTATGCGCTCGAACAATTCGCGGAAGCGGATGTCGCCATCCGGCCTGGCCGGCACAGTCTGGTGTCTGGTGATGTGCCTGGTGGTGCTGATCTACGTGGTTGTGGGCGGGATGCGAGCACCGCGGCCCGTGAACACTCTCAGACGCTGCGTCTTCCTCGCCGTGAGCGGGCTCGCCTTCTTCGTGATCACGGCAGGGATGGGCGGCTCGTTTCCCGCGATGGCGCGGCTCGCGAGCAGTCCCTACGAACTCCTGGAGCTGGCGCGGACCAACCCGCGCGATGGATCCAGACTCGCGACCTATCTCGTCGTCACACGCTGTCCACCTCGTGTTTCCTCACATATTCAGCACTGGATGTCGGCGGCGGAGCGCGGGGCATTCCGGCTGACCGGTGCTCGCCTACCGTTGCATCGCCGCGGTGTGGTTCCCTCGGTGGTGCTCGGCGGCGCTCGGCACGGCTCGATGTTCCCCTGGACGCGACGGGGCCGAGTCTATCATACTGCGGATCGCAGAACACCGGAAGCCTGCTGGCTGGGCCTGCTCGACGCCGGGGTGTTCGCTCGCCATTCATGTTGCGTCACGCGATCTCCCAGACGCATCGCAGGGGAACGGATGCTCACCAAAGACGCCGCGCTCGCGTCACCCAGGTTCGCGAAGTGGAGCAGAGAGCGCACGCCCTAGCTCGCCGCATCGTCGTGGCCGGGTTTCTGGTAGTCGGGGCTGTTCGTCTGAGTCTCGGGTCTCCACCCGCCAGGTCGTCAGCCTGGGCAGTCTGGACCTTTCGGCCAGGCTTAACGTCGTCTTCCCTCGCTGCGTCGGCGCCCTCTACTGGAAGAGCAGCACGGGGCGCGCGGCGCCCGCGCGCTGGTTTGGTTTTGTTATGTTTCTCGTGAGATCCGGCATCTTTTTGCCTGCTCTGGACCCTCTTCTTCGGTTCTCCGGCGGCGCAGCCCGGTGCAGACGATCGTAGCGGCGATGGACACCGGCCGCCGCGATCACCATCGTTTCGGCCTCGCCCTGGTGGTGGCCTCCGCCTCACCGCCCCGCCGGATTACCGAACCGCGTCTCTCCAGCTTCTTCCGTAGACAGGAGAGACGGTCTTCACCCCAACCGGGGAGAAACTGGCAGCCATCGCGGCCGCAGGGCGAGCAGACTCCGATCGGGGGGGCTAAACCACGCGCAGATGGCGCGCACCCAGGACCCCGGTCTTCAGACCGGACCATCGCGACCGCAAGGCAGCGAAAACCCCCATCCGCCAAACGCGCAAATGGCGCGCACCCAGGAGCACCGGTCCTACAGCCCCACACCGAAAACCAGCATCGCGGCCTAGGCCCGCGAAACTCAGATCGCTAACGCGCAGATGGCGCGCACCCAGGAGCGCCGCCTTCACACAAATTCGCACACTTTTGAGGGCGGTGGCCGGCATCCAGAGCGAGCGAAGTTCCGAATCGCCTCCAAATCGGCCCAAGTGGCCATTAGAGATCCGAAACGGCCAAAACGGCGGCTCTCCGGTGGGCAGACGGCGGTTCGAATGGGAGGGAGTAGGCGTTTTGTTGTAGTTTTTTGTTGTTATGTGTTGTGTTTGTTTTGTAGTGCCAGTTTCTTTTGTGGAGTGGAGGGCGTTTTTGGTCTTGACTATGGTCCCGCCGTCCGCCAGCATCCCTCCCAGCATCTCCGCCGCTCCGCCTGAATCCGCGCCACCAAGACCCACAAAAGGGACCGAGCAAGACAGCGAAGGAGTTACCGCCTGTCACGCTCGGTACGATCGGCGACAAGGTCCGCCAGGAGACCCTGTTGAACCTGGGATGTGGACTATCCGGTTTCAGAAGCAGCAGCAGTGGCGGGAGTGGCTCCTGGTGACCGAGTGCGTTGGCGGGACAAACGGCCGATGTGGAGCCGGTGCCCTGGATATTTCAGGGGGCGCCGAGGAACTGGTGCGACGGTGCGCGCGGTGGGCTGGGGACGCAGGAGACGGAGAGGAGGGGCCGGGGGAAGGCGCGCGGGTGGCGACGTGGACCATGGATACGCTGGAGCATGACGAATCTCGCTCGGCCAGGAGGGGAGGAGGGGGAGCGCGTTTGCCTGGCAGGGAGGAGGAGTGGGCTTTTCGGGCTTGCTGCACGAGAAGGGGGGTGCGGGGCAGGGATGAGCGGATTCGCCACCAGCGTGGTGTGGCGAAGATAGAAGATGCTGCATCCGAGCAGCGAGGAGGGAGGCGTTGCGGTGGTGGGTTGCGGGAGGACAGCGACGCGAGGAGCTCT